CGTAGAAGAACAGACATGCCCTAGAATTGTCTTTCATTTAAGGTTAGCTTCAGTATCTCTGCCTGGAGCCTCCTCGTTGAAATAAGCAGTCCATTTTATATATTTCTAGAAAAATTTTGATTAACTTAAAAATGGTGATGTTTTTAATACCAACAAAGCTTATCGTCGATATAAAATGTAAGAAACATATTATGCATTTAAGAAAATCATTAGTTTTATCAATTCCTGTAAAGGTTAAAATTAGTATTGTTGTTGCAATCAATCCAATTTTTCCTTATGTTCTTGGGGGGTTGTATTTAGTATTATTATTATTAGTATTAGTATTGTTATTTTAAATATAATCTAATATGTTTAGAGAAGTCAGGGTAATATAATCAAGCTAGAGGTCATATTACAGAAATTGTTTTTTGGTTATAATCTCACTAGTAGGCTTGTTGTGTCAAACGTTATCCAATTATTTTTTGAATAAAAACTCTCTTATTAATTTTTTCTTCCGCTACAATTTTTGCTTCAATATTGTATTCAAGTAATTTTAAAATTTTTTGAATTAAGCTCATGCGGTGGTAAGCTTTCACAAATATTGTTTAGAAGTTCAATTGGAAAATGTATACAAATCTTATTATCAGATCTATCAACACTTATAAGTAACATGATCTATGCTCTACTATGTTTTCATTTCTCCTTTCACATGATTAAAAATCTTATTATTCAAAATGTAAGTATATTTGTTATGAGAAGTAAGTATAATGCTATTAATTAAAAAGTTAATGTCTTTACCAAAAATATCAGAGCAAAAACTAGTTGTTTTTATTCATTTGGTACTTGGAATAATTCAATTTTTCCTTCTCCAATATCTTATGATGATTTTGAAAATGTTTTGTTAATCAAACAAATATCGATATTAAGTTTTTGAATACAAAGCAACGACAAAAGATATAATGACTTAAGTTTTTTGTATAATTATGTTTCTATTACCATTTTTAAAAACCTAAAGAATCTGTCTGTAATCGTCTTCTAAACAATTAATAACAGGAGTTGGACTATGCACAAACAGAACCTTAATTTTTTTGACTGTACCTTGAAAAAATGGGTAAGAAAAATGTCTCCTTCGTATGCTATTTTTGAAAAACTAATATGGACATTTAAAAAATTTTTTTTAAGTTTTTGTCGTAGTTATAACCTCTGAAAACTAGAAAAACAATATAATTTTAAAAAAGAAGCTTGATGAACCCAAAATAACCATTTTTACGGGTTCTCTTTGAGAAGAATACATGATCGACGTGTACAAATAAAGAGAGTTCGTACTATGCGCAAACATATCCTCAACTTTCTTGTTTCCGACTGTATCTTGAAAAGAACAAATTTTGTATTTAGTATGGCAAATTTAGAATATGAATACGAATGTTGACCAAATCGTCGAAAACTCTTTGTTATAACATAACATTTCAAAACTAGAAAAACAATTGTACCTCGAAAGAAAAACCAGGTAGGCCAAAATAACTTCATGTATAGAGAATAATTATTTACGTGCAAAATATCTATTACATTTATACAAACAATCGTAATAATTAAAAAAAAGTCATACCTCAAAAGCAAAGCTTCATTCCACATACCCTACCAATAAATTTATTATTTTCTATTCACTATCATGTGTTATAAAAATAATTGTTACGTGACCAAAACCTACATTAAAAATAAAATACTCAATATTCATGGCATACTGTCAAAAAGTTTATTCTTGATGTCAAAAATGTGTAAAATATCTGCTCTAAACATAGTCTGAGTTGTACATCATTTAATTTACCCCAAAACTTTCGCGTTGATTCGGCTCACAATCGAGAGGAATGTGTCACACCGAATTCAGCCCAAATGTACACTGAGGATAAATTTGATAAGGAACTAATGAGAGGAAATGATCTTCTAAGGAATTGGTAAGAGATTTTTCATATTATACTTACACTTACGAGCAGAAACTTGAGATCATAGAGAAAATAAAAGTAGGGTTATAACAAGCAGACACAGTAATGATAATGATCTTAGGGCAGCAATAATGTTACAGTAGACGCAGATGTATAACAAGTCAACCAATTCTAGTAACTGTGCTTAAATAGTTATTTACTACTATGTATACTAAACATAATACAAAAATTTTAAATGCGTAAGAACCAGTGTATGCTGAGGTACTTTAGTATAAAAATATATTTGTATGAAATGTTATGGCACACGATATATAAATATTAATATACTTTTTATGAAATGATATTATGTACAAAGGTGCTACTATTATCGTTGAAATGAATGTATATACATTAATTGCGAGTGGGTTTAATAAATGTTTTAATATTAAATAAACGAGAAATTGTAAACAATTTATTACGTATAAATAAAAAAATGTATATTTAAGCTATGACAAAACATGCTCATTGCATCTTTAACATCATATTTACGTCTCTCACATACGTTTACATACTCATAACTATTTCATGTTTAATACCCACAATGTATTTATAAAGTTACTATCTAAAAGGCTAAGAAAAATCATACTGTTGTACCGTTTTATTTTGAATAGAGTAGAATTACATGCCAGCTGATGTTTTTTCAGGATATCCAGTACACATAGGTCTTTTTTACGTAGATTATTCAGTAATGCAAAATACCCTTAAAACTTGCAGATCGATTGACTGTGTTACGTCCAAACTTCTAGAAGTAAAGAGCAAAACTCGTAGATTCGTTCTACAAAAAAATAAATTTAATTTTTGTTCGTCAGGAACCAGCCATCGGCCCAAAGGCCTTATTTGCTTTTGCTCACGGTATACTTTTCTTTTAAATCGTTGATTCAGCGTTGTGGTGTTAGGTTTCACCGAGCGATATGTATGGAGTGGTGTATGCCGAACTGGCGTTGACCTACGGTTTGAGTTTATGTCTTATGTCATACGGTAGTAGCGTATCTTATTTGACTTTTTATCTCACATCCTTGTAAAGGTCTTTGTCATACGTTGTCTATTTAATTTTTCTACGATTTTAAATTTATTTATCAAGGTAAGAATTATGTGTCGATGAGTTAGAATATTGGATCTTGGAATGTTTCGTATAATGTAGTGATTGAAATGGTTTTAAATTAAGATGATTAATTTAATTTGGTTGTTAACTAAATGAATTATCTTAATTCAAAACCATTTCAATCACTATATTATACGAAACATTTCAAGATCCAATATTCTAATTGATTGACACATAATTCTTACCTTGATAAATAAATTAAATATCGTAGAAAAATTGAATAGACAACGTATGACAAAGACCTTTACAAGGACGTGAGATAAAAAGTCAAATAAGATACGCTACTACCGTATGACATAAGACATAAATTCAAACAGTAGGTCAACGCCAGTTTGGCATACACCACTCCATACATATCGCTAGGTAAAACCTAACAGCACAACGCTGAATCAACGATTTAAAAGAAAAGTATACCGTAAATAAAAGCAAATAAGGCCTTTGGGCCGATGGCTGGTTCCTGACGAACAAAAATTAAATTTATTTTTTTGTAGAACGAATCTATTTTTAAAAATAGTATTTTATTTTTACTGTAGGTTTTGGTCACGGAACAATTATTTTTATAACACATGTTGTATATAATTCTTAGTTATAGTTGATTTATAATTCTTATGTCAGATTTATAAACTAAGTAGAGCATATAAAACAATATGTACTTCTATTAAAATTGTATTACAAAAAAACATGTGGGACTAAAGTGATATCGATGGTATGATCTTCTGAATGTCTATAGAAATTGGGAATTTCATTAGTCATTAGGAGTTTATTAATTCAAACTAAAATAATCTAGTTTATAAACTATTCATTAGCTACTATAAGTGCTAGAGAAAATAAGCTTTGCATGAGTATGAGATCCAAGTAAATTAAATATTTTTTGTCATTAATGCAAACATTTAAGGAAAAAGTTTTGTTTAAACGTTGTTGTAAATTAAACTAAGAGTATGTAAGAAGCACTCATTTTAATCTAATTGCATGAATTAACATGAAAAAAATTCAAAAAAACATAGTGATATCATACATATATTTGGGGAACTGTAGAAGAGCAACGTAAAATCAAGCTTGAGAACATAAGGGAAAATCAATCCAATTTTTCCTTATGTTCTTGGGGGGGGGGGCAGGGGAGGGATTTTCCAGGACTTTAGGAGGGGTGTTGAGCAAATAATAAATACATACATATGTTCACCGCAGGTGACTTACGCAGACATTATTAGATAAAAAATTTTACAGGTGACAATCCAACCATACTAATATGAGCAGTCCGAACACTCTTTCAATATTATGACGGTTCGTCTTAATAGCTCAAGGAGTCTGTGCAAGTTTTCATTCATAAACATACAAGTGGAGCCTTGCTCTTTTTGCGCAAATCTAAGTAAAATTGTTTCACATAAGATTTTGATAAAAAAAACGACAGGTGTAAGCTTTTTTGTACATTTAAAATTTTTAATTGAAAAATAAATTAGTAACTTGTTCATCTTTTTAATGCCCAATACTGATGCTTATTTAAGCACAAAAACGCTATAAACAANTTAGAGAAGTCAGGGTAATATAATCAAGCTAGAGGTCATATTACAGAAATTGTTTTTTGGTTATAATCTCACTAGTAGGCTTGTTGTGTCAAACGTTATGTATTTATTATTTAGTATATTATTTGAAAAAAAAAATTTTTTGCGATAAGAACGAGTATGCCTTTTTTTAAATTTGTTGCTCTTACATCATTTGGGTCACCATCAACGATCGGGTTTGACACTATATGTATAAACAGTCTATTAAATATTTTGGTTTTGTAACTGTAGATCATAAGTAGTTAATGTAATAAAAGTTTTTGTGAAAGCTGGATATTTTATGAGAAAATTAAGTTCACAAAAGTTGGTTTCTGCGTATCGACAACTTATCAATACTTTAATTTATCTCTATACTGAAAAGTATTTTCTTTTTCCTTACAGGTGCCCAAGAATACGGTGAGGCAGCAGCATATATTCAAGCACAATTTGAAGCAAAAAATAAGTCAACTACCAAAGAGATTTACTGCCACATGACTTGTGCAACAGACACAAATAATATTCAGTTTGTATTTGACGCAGTAACTGATGTGATAATTGCTAACAATCTACGTGGGTGTGGTCTTTACTAAGAAAATTTTTCTACTTATGAGAAAAAACTGTCTAATTTTTTCTTTTTATTTATTTTTAAACTTCATGAAAATATCTATTTATTTGAAAAGATAGGCAGTATGTGTTTAACAGTTAATAATTATTTTTATGATAACCATAAGATAAAAGTTTCTAATAAGTGTTCACATACAACTTAAGTCTCTTATTTTAACACAAACATGATCATGCTGTTTACACATTGTATGTATGAATACGTACCTCTACATACGTATATTCTGTTATAATTTAAGATTGTTTTTAAATGTTTTTATGTATGTTCTTATAATCTGAATTGCACAGTTGTTTTACTTTAGCTACACATAAACATAATTGCTCCAGCAAAAAATACCTTGTATAAAATTTTTATGAAATAGTTGCGAGTACTTTTCATCGGAAAAATTTATTTGTAAAAGTGTATAAACATTATATACTATTAAAAATAAGTGATAGCACTTTCGGCCCATTTTCCTCGTAGCAAAGTACTTTGACCTACTTGCTGAATAATTTTGTAAGTTTTAATTCCGTTATTCTAATACATAGTTATTAAACATCAAGATCTAAGATAAATAGCTGAGGTCAATAGAAATATGCAGCAGCAAATGGCATTGTGACGATAAATTCTAACATCTTGCATATTTACGTACTTGTTATAACCTACATTTGGCGTCCTTATGTAGGTCGAAGATAACTCTGATCCTTATTTATTATGAAAAATGAAGCAAATCTTAATTTCTGTTAAGAGAGGAAAAAAGAATAATTTAATTTTTAAAAAGGTAAGCATAACATGTATTTCTGTTTCATTGAGTGTAATAACAAGTAATTATGCATTTATCAAAGAATTTATTTCTTTCAAGATTATTACTGAACAGAAACTCTAGCTTTGTTAAAAAGTAAAAAGGAAATAGTAAAGACAGAGTTTGTATTATTAATAACACAAGTTATATTTAAAGTTTCCAAGGACATTGTCGAACATTAGCATTATCAAACATTTTGTCATACATTATGACAACTTTGTATGCTCTGATTAAACAAGATTTATTTTTTTCAGAGTTTAATACTGACCAACAACTCTAACTTTTATTAAAAATGATGAAAAATAGATCGTACAATTTATAATATAAATAATACAATCTTACATTTACACTCCCGATGACATTTTAGACTACACTGTTTCCCAAATTTATAGTAATGAACTGACAAATATTTATACGCTAAGAAAATTGAAACGCACGTTTATGATTTATTAAAAAATATTCAATGTAGGCTGGCTTAAGATTTATCAGTCAACAATTAAAAACGCAACTTCCATTTTTGTATTATTTATGTATCTCTTAATGCGCAGAGTAACAAAACCTTTAACAATAACCGAGGAAATTCGTACTTTTAACAACTAAAACATACTGTTTATAATCTTCACTCTCTATAAAAACGTAAATATTTCCATACACCTGAAACAGCTGTTTCAGTATACAGGATCTTCTTTAGATGGCTATCAAATTCCAACTAAACCAAATTACGTTGCGTTGCTATATAATATACATACCGAATGTAGAGTCAATACATATTAATACAATATAAGTAAATGCTATATATTTACATAGTGGAAACGTTAAAATTTTTAATTTAGTAAAGCTAAACTATTAAGATCTAACTGACTGTTTAATAGTCTGCCAGAATTATTGAATTGATTGATTTCCATTGGTTCTAAAAAATTTAGTTTTTTACTTTTACTGCAAATATGTAAGATGTGATAATGATTATTAAAAACGTGATAACATTCTATTAAACGACTAGAATATGTTGCTTTGTCAGTCTTACAGTTAAAAGCACTTTTACGTTCTTTGTCTTGTCTTTCAAACGTTCTACACGTTTGGCCAAAATATAATTACCACAACCTGGTGTGCTATAATATCTCTTGTAATCGACTGATGTCTATTCTTTATTGGTTTTGTCTTTGTTGATTTTTACTATTTTTTAGAAATTTTTATTTGTCTGGAACGCTAAGTTAATAACATATTGTTTAAAAAATTGAGTAATTTTATAAGTACGTGAACTGGTATGAGTTGATATGTGGTACCAATGATCATCATCCTTCATAGATAAAGGAGAGACGTTTTTAGTAGCTATTTTTAGTCTCACTTTATTAAGTATGTTATCTTTAATAACTGGGTTATAACCATTATTGAATGATAATTATTTAATAATTTTTAATTTATGGTCAAAATCTGACGGCTTTAAGGATATAGTTAAAAGTCTATGTACACATCACTTAAAATGGCTGCATTTTATGTGAATATGTATGCAACGACGTATTGTGAATAATGACATCGAAGTACGAAGGTTTATGGTAAAAATTTAATGAAACTCGACCATTATTTTCGATAATTGTAAGCCCTAAGAAATAAATTTGGTCATTATTTTCGATTTCTAATGTAAATTGTATGTTATTATGTAAAGTATTAATAAAATTAGAGTAAATATCTAACTGTCTCCGAGTACCCGTCAAACAAACAATAATTTTGTCTATGCCAAAACAACAAATATTTAGAGAGTAAATGATACGTTATTTTTTGTTCAAGATTGTTCATGAATATTGGTGCAAGTAATCGACCGATAGGGTCACCCATAATTAGACCATCTTTAACAGAATGAAATTTGTTTTGAAATGGAAAATAATTATGACTGAGGACCGTTTTAATATTTACTAAATTTCTTGGTGGACTAACTCACTCATTTTATTTTTATGTCATGGATTATCGATTATACATTGTACTTCACGGATTGGTATACTCAGAAAAAGTTTTTTAACATCAAATGAAAGTAATATGGCATTATGTGGAAAATTTATGTTTTGGATTCTATTGACTAATTCAATCAAATTTTTTTTCTACTGTGAGTTGATACAAAACTGTGTATTTTATAAAATAAGGTTAATTAATTTCTTAGATACTTTGTAGGAGAAAAAATTATTATAAAACACAACCGGAAGATTTTTGGTATGTTCTTTTATGAACAAGTAAAATTTTGGAATTCTTGGATTCATTCGTTCTCTTGTGCAGTGTGTAAAATAATTTAGTATACAGTTTTTTTCATACAAAGTTATAATTTGTTTAAAAAAATTATTAAGAAGTGTATGTGACAGACTATTCACGTTGTGTAGAATAACTTCACATGCAACTGCTAAATTTTCTTTCATATGAATGTTGTCATCGATGTTAAAGTTAAATTTGAAACCGCTTTTAAAAAGTAATTTTATTGTTGGTGAATATTATATTTGACAAGTTAACAAGTCTGTCAGCAAACTTCAAATTAGTAAGACTGTTATGATTGATATCGTTACGTCTATAATAAAATGATCTCTGATTATTAGTAAAGTTGAAACTTTTGAAGCTTTTTTACTTACTGTTTTGGCACATACATTTTTTTTATACAAGTTTATTAAGTTTTCATCTTATGTCACAATCAATGTTCAAGACAAATAAAAATGCAATAAGAAATCACAAAGACAAAATCAATAAAAAAAAGAAACCAGGCGTTTACAAAAGATATTGTAGCACACCAGGTTGTGATAAATTGTACTTGGGCCAAACTGATAAAACGTGCTATTATTAATTATACAAGATATCATACACGATCCTTTATGCTGGGTCAGAAACTCAGCATTGATTTCTGTCAATATCATTAAAAAATAACATATACTTTTGTTTAAACCTTATCAAAGTCAATATTAAAATCAGATAGGAACCTTACTCAAATAAATTTTTAGTAGGTATAAACTGGTGGTACCATAATACTTTTTTATCATTTTTATTTATTACTTATGAAAAATTTTTTACATTTCCAAATACTTTCAAAAGACTTCCACGTTCCTATATAATTTATCTTGTGACGTAACTTTGGGGATGACGCATGGTTAGTAATTAGTAATTTTCTTGTATTTACAATTGGCTCACTAACCCAAGTTTCTTGAAATGATTTGTGACTAATTAAATTATAGAATTACAAACAAAAACTGTTATCAAAGTTATCCTGGATATTCCAATTTCTTTTGTTCTGATTTTGTACATTTTTTAAATTTCTTATCTGACTCAGGGTTTCAGTTTTAAAAGTGTTTCGTCAATAAACTGATAGCTTTTTTATCCCCATAACTCGCAACCTTCAAAGTATCTGATAAATGTATCAGCCAATTTATTTTCCACACCTTCAATATGCATTATCTTGAATTCATAATTTCTTATTACAATCATTTAGCATTTTGAACGTTCATTTAAAATTTAACAGGCAAATTAATACATTAATACGTAAAAATCTGTTTTAATTATAATTTTTGTCTCAAGAAAAAACTAAGAATATTTATTGACTGCAAGCAAAATCGCTAAAAGTTCACGATTACAGCACATGTGTTAAATTACTTTGTGTAAGTGTATCAGAATTTAGTTGGCTTTGATAAGTATTCTGTATAAGTGAGAAATTATAAAAACTATTGCTATTGTTCCTAATATATTTAACATTTTTAATACTATAAGAATCTTGGCTTAGTGCACTAAAAATTATTCAAGTTAAGTTGTCTCGTAAAAGCACTGGGGCATTATTTGGATCTAAGTGCGGTTGTTGTGAAGATTTGTTCTCTAACAACCATTTAACCCCCCACTTCCATAGCGAGCCCTATATAAACTATCGCTCTTTCCACCGCAGAATTTGGACTATCTCTTCCCCTGCTCCACAGGTATTCTTCTTAATTTTTTTAACTGGGTTCTCTTCATTACTTAACTAAAGATTAAAAGAGAAAGAGCTTACAATTATATGATTCACGTTTATTTCGTCTACTAAATTCCTATGATACTCTCTACCTCATGAGAAACGCTAACATAACAATAACGAAAGGTGCGAGCACAAAAAACACTTTTAATTTAGTAGATATCTTGTTCATAATATAAAGTTTAAATGAGATAAGAACAATAATATCAATAATATATTTTTATCTAATGCAAAAAGTAAT